TCTAAAATACACACGAAGCAGACAAAGATTAGAATACAAGTTATAGAAGAATACGTTGACAAAAGAAGCGAGAACAATGGACTGAAGCTATTTATAAAAGGACTGAGGAGAAAAAGGAAAGACCTGAACATTTTGGGGTTAATTATAATTTCGCACCGACTAGACAAATATACACAGCTTATAAGCGACTTTGAATTTGGGTGACTAGTAACGCAGACTGTGTGATCATTGTTCAGCTTTCAGTTTAGGCAAATTCATATTTTATCATTTATCACATAGTTGTGGAGAAATTTTTGTTTTTCTCATTCAGGTAAATTTCAACTTTCCATCGATTAGTTGAACGCTTAGCTTATTTATGTTTGTAAAAATTAATCGAGAACTTCAATTCTTAATAGAATTCTCTTCTTTTAGGTTTGTTCAAAATTGTTTCAAACGCACAGGCGATTGAATACTAATTTGTAATAATATATGTGTGCATATGTGTATAGATAGATGTGATGCCGCAAATGGGATTGCAAAATTAGCATAACTTCATCCCACGACTGACACTTATTTACGGAGGTGTTTCTTAATTGTTAAAGACGTAAATACTTAAAAAATGCGCGCGTGACTCTGAAAAATTGGAGACGACACAACTAATAAGACGTGAATGAGTAAAATGAAATGAATAGTAAATAGTCGAACTTTTTAAAAAGTACAATTCTTTCAAGCATATTGTGTATGCCTATCTGTACATCTGTACAAATGTAACAAATAATAATAGTAACGATAATAATAATAATTGGAACAATAATTGTAACAACAACTAAGACGATTATATTCAGCTGTGACCGAATCTTCCATGTCCACTGTGTTTATCGAAAATAAAGATTTAAAAAAAAAAAAAAAAAAAAACAAGTAAGCAAGTTAAAATCGGTTGGGACCGAATCTTGTATGCGCATCACTGTTATTGTAAAAAAGACAAACGAACACAATCTTCATGCTCCGTAATATGGGGTGAGCGCAGCTGATTTCTTCTATTTTCAGTATAAAAGTTTTCGTCGTATGTGGCATGTGGGCTTTGTAGGCGTGTCCTTTAAAAAGTTCAGGTCAATGCCAAATTCTTTTTCAAATCTCACTCTCGCTAACGGGAGAAAGTTTACCATAAACACTACAAAGTTGCGCAAACAGACAAATGGACAGACGAACAGACGGACATGCTTAATTGTATTTCAAATTTGAAACTGGCCGAAAAATTTGCATACTTCATCGGATTTTTCAAGCCTGTTTCGGTGCGGCATTGAAAAAACAATTAAAGTTTGCTACACTACAATATTGGGTAGGTGTGGTCAATTTTTGCCATTTTTTTGCACAAAATGCTACAACTTCGCCTATTGAATATAAGTTCAAGTTTTTGTACATTTGTTTGTTGTAGTTTATGAGTAAAGAGCATAAAGCCAGTTTTTCATTCCTTTTGAAAAATAAAAGGTGTTCTCAGTTTACCTGATGGTGTGCCCGAGTCCTTCCATCGACTTAACCCATTTTCAATAGCAACCTGCGTGCAATATTTCTGCCAAATTTGCAGTCGATAATTTCTTTTTTGCGGCCAAGAGATTGTTTACAACAGACATTACACAGATGGACAGACGGACATGCTTAAATCGATTTATAATTCGATCGATACTCCGTGTAAATATATATTCCTCATCCTTCGGTGATGGGTGTAAAAACTAAACTCTCCCGTTTCTTTAAGACGCCGAAGGGAAGGCATGTTTTTGATCTTATACTGTGCAGGAGATATTTCAAAAAGTCAGTCGCGACAGTTTTTCTTTAATTTTATATATTAATTTTGAAAGGTAAAACGTTAAGACTTTTATACCGGTTTAAGCGTAGCTCTGGTGAAAGAAATTTTTAGCTTACAAAAATTTAAAATAGGTAACGATATGTAAAAAGAATTCAGTCAAATAGACGCAACAAACAGTTCTTGCTCGAGAGTAAATAAATCACAGAGATAATAATTGAAAATTCATGTAAATACTTAAGAATAAATTTGGTTTAGTTGGTTAGGTGCGTTGTGAATTTCTTTTTTTGATGTACGCAACACCCAGAAGAACTTGAGTTGTTAATGTACCGATCTATTCAGAAAATGATTCTATGCTCGTCTTTCTATCTGTCCGTCTGTCCGTCTTTTTTCTCGTGTGCAATTTTTGAAATATTTTGATAAAGTTAAATAAACTGACGCTTCTTTAGCTTTTGAATGAATCTTTAGCTGTTGAATGGTGTAGCACATTCATTGATGCGCCCTGTCCCTCCATAGTTTTTTTCAATTGTTTGTTTATATGCATATCCTTGTAATATTTATACATTTTAGTATTTCAAGGACAGATAGCACAGACTAATAATAAAGTCTGAGAACATATGTTTGCAGAAACTGAAGACCTTATCAGAGAGATAGGTAAGGAAACGATACAAATAATAATATTACCTAAAACATATTATGATAGATCCCAAGAAAGGAAATGATTTCATGTTAATATGGCTGCAATGCGGACAAAGAGCTAGTTAATGCCTAGAGATTGGGAAAAACGTTTACGAAAATTCCGCACCAGGAAATGACTATAAAAAACTGAAGTGGAAGCTGGAAGCAACAGGTAAGGCAAGTATAAATATCTCTCTAGGAGAATATAGAAGAGAAAGCTTATGCTGAAAGCATTGGGAAAATAAATTTTTGTGTTTTTAATGACTGCGTAATCAGATTACTGTGCAAGCAGGGTAGGATATGGAGGCATTTAAGGAACGACCGATTGTGCTATATAATGCCTAGAGGATCAAATAAACAAAGGAGAGTGTCAGCGAATTTAAAGAAGATATAATTTCTCTAATAAGCAAGGGCTGACCTCCAATCCCGCAATTCGTCAGTCATAACAACAAATTCAAAATACTACTGCTACTAAAACATCTTAAAACATTTTTCAATGCACATAGATTCTAAGCGACAATCAAAAAGAATATCATTATGATGTCATTCATTATCTTAGTGTGAAATCTACTTAGTCAAGTAGAACGAGATAATAGTTAGTGAAGAAAAAAATTAAGCAAAAACACCATAAAACAATCCCACATTAGATTTAGAGGAAAGAAGAGATTAAATAACTGTCACCCACACCATCCGAAAACTTTACATTTCAATTAAAATTTAAACACGATTAATATCAAATTAATCAACGAGCAATTATTGCAAAAAATTACAACTGAAGACAAAATAAACATCGTAGAACATCGTATCTACAGATTAGATGCCAAAGTTTTAGAACAAAAATCACCTTCAGATAACTCTTTCTTTTCCACTGATCGCCATCATTAAGATTTGTATTGTGAGTTGTTTAACGCTTGAATTTCAACAAGAAATTAAATAAACACTAAGATCATAGAATCTCAATCTTTCGAATAGCCGAATAACCCTTGTAAGGTAGTTGTCAACAAGATTTTTAAGATCTTATTATAATTTTATTGACATCAACATCAACATAAACATAAACGTATTCCTGTTTATCTCTATAAAAATTCTTTCATTAATTTAATAAATTCAAGAAGCATATAGAAATCTATATATATATATATATATATATATATATATGTATATGTATGCATGTATGTGTGCACATGTCTGATTTATTCAAACACGTTGCTGTAACCTAATAAAACTTTTTCATTTATTAGTTGTGTGTTTTGATTTTCATATAAAACTAGATGATGTGAACGAACGACCTCAACAAAGTCATTCAGGTTTAACTGAAAAGTTAACTTTTTGCAGCTTATGATGGGAATTGAAATCTTTCAACCAAACACATATGAATATAAATCAATAGAAAAACAAAAAAACGAATGTACCTTAACCAAGACGTGACTACGAAACAGGTTTTTGTGGGTGTGTTTTACACAAGTAACAACATAACAACATATGATATGATAGCAGTGTCAGGAGTACGAAGCTTTTTAAGGGACGGAGCGCGGGAGCGGTGAAAATTTTTCAGAAAATAATTTTTTTTTTTTTTTTGTTGGATTAACAGATAATTTGATGCTTTGAGCTTTCTAAAATATGTGGAAAGAAATTCTTTATTGGAAAGAAAGTTTTTTTCTGTCTTAGATCGGTTCAGAAAATTATTTTGACTTTATCGGTATTTAAAGTCTTTCTTTGTGTTGCATATATCCGCACAAACTTGATATACCGCATTATACCGCAAATGGTAGGTTGCAAATGTTTAGTAATTTCGCTCACACCACACATTCAGTTGTAACATAAAAAAAAAACTTTACTAACACATTTCTTACTCTATGCATTTTTATTGCAATTATCCAAACATCTTTGAAATCTCTCTGTGCAATTACTATGCACTGCGCTGTAGTTTAAATTAAAAATAAATATTCCGTATCTTTTTTATAAATTAAAAACAAATACAAACAAGTAAGCAAATTATATTTGATTGGGGCCGAACTTCGCATACCCACCATAATTAAAATCTTTAGCGACCCAAGCATTTGTTTCCGGTTATAGAAAAATGAATGGAATAAAATTTATATTTGACTACTTAGTAACAGCCGCGGCATGACGTTTGGCTTTTCGCTTTGTACTTCTCAAACCCTTTCATTTGATACCCATACAGACGGTATTTTTAAGAACAAATGTATCCAAGCATGTGATAGTGTGTAAATATATGTATTCTTCTTTTAAATGTTGATTTTAACACAAATAATATCGTATAAAATATGAGAAACGTTTTCATTAAATTCAAATTAAAAGTATTACTGATGTTGAATATATCTCATAGGTTTGACTTATAAAGGTTTTCAAGTCCACTGGTATACGTTCTAAGACTATTTAAGACAGAACAAGTTTCTCGTGTTTTAATAGCATTTAAGTATTTTCTAGGGGTAGATAGATAATGCAAGAATATTTAATGTGATGTATATATGATTAAAGGGAAACATAACACAAACAGGTCAGGGTTTCAGCCCGCTTTGAACAGTTCAAAATTTAGGAACGTCCAGTGCATAAACATTTGCCTCATAATCGTCTAAGCATGCGCTTCTTTTCTTTGATTAATTTCTCTTTCTTCTTATCTTGCAATTTTTTATCAACAGCATGCTTCTTAGAACTGGGTCTATCATCATGTTTTGTGTCGGCTGTTTTGGCCGCTTGCGCATGAATTTCGGTCATCATTTTTGCTCGCTGCGCATAGTCGTCATAACGTTCGAGCAATAGTTTACCAGCCTCTTCATTTAGGGCAGATTCAGCATTGGGTACAATTAGAAGGCATTTAATAGTCAATAAAATATGTTTTACGCCCAAATCAGGCTTCCAGTCCTTTTTTAAAGTGTCAACACAAATTTCACCACGACTAGCAACATTTGGATGAAAAATTTTTGTTAAGAAAAAGGCTTTTGGTGGAGATTGTGGATAGTCTTTGCCTAATGCTATTTTAACCCGAAAAATGCCGCCGACGTATGGTGTACCAACCGGTCCATCTACTGACGCCTGGATATCGGTGACATCGGCATCATTGATTTGAATCTTTATCCCTTCTAAAGGATGCTCGACCATGCTTTGAATTTCCTTCATCACTTGACGGATGGTTTGAGGTGACAAATTTTCCACATTGGAAATAGTGCTCATTTCTTCTTTCAATATCCGTGTCTGCGCAATATAAGAAAATTTTTTTATGGTTTTTTCCTTTCAACTGAAATATTTAAAGCGAAGCGTCTATGCCAATTACTTTTAGGATTTTACAGCTTCTAGTTTAATATATATTTTCTTTTTTTAAAAAGCTATAAACATTTATGACAGATAAGACAAAAGTTTTCATAAATACATAAATGAAAAATTTCTCCCAAATTGTGAAGTAAATTTTTTTAACATTTTTGAAGAAACATTAATTTGGAGAATAGAGAATACAATTTACTTGATAGTACTGCCGCTTATTAGGTCAGGTTTGCACAGTGTCCATTATATTTATTTTGGAATTAACACGAGCTTAGGTAAGATAGTATGTCTTCATTTGAGTAATCTACAAAATAATTTGAACTGTCTTTCTCGTTTATTCTATGATTAATAATTACATAAACTCAAAAAAGTAAAAGAAAGAAAATTCAATCGCTCTTAACAACTCCGCGTGGGCGTGGCCGATTTTCGAACATATGTAGTAGAGTTACCATAAAGCAAGAGTAGAAAATTTCATTCTTCTCTCTTTGATAATTTGTGGCTAAGCAGCAAAACCCTTCAAATTTTCGTTAGAGAGAAGGAATCGCGATCGCTTTACGTTTTGCTGCAGGTGGGTGTTCTTACGAATTTGGCCCATTTTCGATATCAATCTACTTGCAGAAACGTTTAATGTTTCTATAAAATTTGAAGTCGAAATTTCCTTTATTGCGGCCAGAAGATTGTCCACAACACACACTATATAGACGGACAGACATGGCTTAATCGATTCAGAATTTCACGCTGATCCAAAAACTTCCTAAAGCTTCTTTCGGGACGAGTTTTGTGCTATTTATCTGCGCATGGCTGTAAGGGAGGCTAAAAATTTAAAATCATTACATTTTGTTGTTGTACGGTTTTGGTTTTCATTTTCCTGTTTTCGCAACAAATTTCCCATTCCTAAGTCTGCAATCGTAATTTTGCTACAAATCAAGATTTTCGGGCGAAGGGCTCAGTCGGTCGATCTTATTCTTTCGTCAGCGGATCGAACAAATTCTCGCTCCGAAGCTTTATGTATTTGCTTCAAATTTTGCACGAATGTCTCTTTTAAATTGTAAATTCAAACTTTTTGTTCCAGCTCGTAGTTCTGATCACTTGTCCACCTATCTATTTCGATTTTCGCAATTTTAAGCATTTTAATAGCAATAGGGATCGAGTAGGGCTAAGTGGACAGGCGCAGACTTTTAACCTGATCAAGAATATATAAAAACAAAAAAAAAAATTGAATCAAAATTTTTGTTTTTCTTTTATGGTTATTTTCAGAATAGCGTATTCTCTCCATAAAAATCGGCAAAACGAGAAAACTGAATAAGATGATAATTATGATAACCTACAGCACTCGTGGTACAAGGGTATCTCAGGTTTATGCGGATGTACCACCAACATTAAGTCTTTCATTAAAGCGGTTGTTTCAAAGCCACCTTTGAACTTCCTTAAGCCTGTCTGTCCGTCCGTCCGTCCGTCCGTCCATTTGATGGCAATACATGTCTTAATTACCCGTTGAAATTTTTGACGAAAATTGCTACAGAGACTTGTCTTGTCGCAAGGGCGAGTTTAATTAAAAATGCTTTGGATAGCACTACCTTTTCGACTACTCCCCATATAAAACTTTATTTTGAACAGTCGTGATTTAAATAACCATGTTAAGCGAAGTGTGGCATACAGGGTATTTAATGGTGGGCGCTATGTTTTTTTTTGCTTTTCTTTTAATTATCCGGTTACAAATTATTTAAAAAAGTTTCGATGTAAATTGCTGCTCCATGGTTGCATTCTTATGAAGGTCATAATCACTTAAGATTGGCTTTATTACATCTTCCCCTTTAATTTTAGCAAAAATGGTCTTTCTTTTTTGTTAACCTTGGATATGACGCGAATCCATGAAGCCTATTAAATATTTCGGAAGAATTCACAATACAATTACACTGACAACTTGAAACTTGTCGATAATAAGATTTTATTAAAACTTTAGTTTAAATTTGTGCTATTTATTTGTCCTTGGCTGTATATAATTAATGAGGTTAGTTACAATTCCTCCCAAGTGTTGGAAAAGTAAGGAGCAAACTAATTCACTTTCATTCTTCGCTAGTGAATATAAAAACCAAAAAGAAAATTAAATTCGGTCAGGACTGAATCTTTTACGCCCGTCACCGTTCACCCCAAAAAAGGCAATAGAAGTGAAAGAGCAAAGAAGAAAATTGTCATGCTCCAGAATATGGAGTGGGCGCAGTTGATTTCTTCTATTTTCAAAATAAAAGTTTTTGCGGTAGAGGCAGTTGGGCGTTGTAGGCGTGTAATTTGAAAAGTTTAGATCAAATTTTTAGGCGATATTTTCATTTTCGACAATGGAAAAAAGTTTTCCACAAATACTAGGAAGTTTCGCAAACGGCCAGATGGACAGGCGAACAGGTGGGCGCGCTTAAATCAATTTAGAATTTGATGCTGATCAAGAATACGTATGCTTTGTGGGGTCTACGATGCTTCCTTCGTTGCGTTGCAAACGTTTTCATAAAACGAATATATCCCTCATCCGTTGGTGATGGGTGTAATAAAATTTAAGGGGAGAGAGATGAAAGCGCGCATTTGGCTTAAGAGCAGACCTTCCGACGAACTCAATTCAATTTCTTTGTTTCTATTTATGAAACTGTTTTTATAACAATAGTTTTACCAAAATTTCCTAAAATTTTTAAAGGTGTTATCGGAACCGATTTACTTGCATTCATTTTTGTTTTTCCCTTATCGTTATTGTTTAGTGTTTAGAATACTTTGCTTTTTTATTTATCAAAAATGTTTTGCTTTTATTTATTTATTTTTTTCTTTTTGTTTATTTTGGTATTCACTTAAACGATTTGTTGTTTCTTTCATTATTACTGTTATTATTATCGCATTTCACGGGTTTTCTGTTGTTTTGTTTTTTCTCCATTTTTTAACGCACACGTTTTTTATTCGTTTGTTATCTGAAGGCTTTTTTTTCGATGAGCGCATGCACTTCGCATACATTTTGTTTACTGTTATGTCTGGTTTTGAATTTTCAGTTCATATCCACAGAGGCTACGCAAGTGCAAATATATTAGCTCTATTATCACGCTTGTAATACTTCCTCCAGCCATAGTGTTTGACACTTGGTTTAAGTAAGCGATTTAATATTTTCTAATATTTTCTAAGTTATCAGACAGATTAACTTAATATAGATGTGTATAGCTAAGAACACATGAAGAAGAATCTCCTGCCATGAGGATTTACAAAAGATTTCGGTTTATTATAAAACCTTATTTAAAATATTTCAAAAAAGAAAAGTTGAATATGTTTGAGTAACCGAGCAACAAACAAGTTTCGATAATAAAAACCGCCCTCGAGATATGAAGCTTCTAGAAAGAGAGGCAAAGTACTTCACCCAAAAGAAAAAGAAAAATAATTTTACTAACAAAAGGGTTTCCTTTTTGTTAATATGACACAATCAAGAATCGCTCAGGGGATGGCCCCCTATATAAAGGCCAGGGAAGACAGGGACAAGAGAAAGACATCGAGGAGAAGTACCTATAGCCTGCTTTGCTACGCCTTCACCGACCGAGCTGTGAGCATAGCAAGTGATTTCTACCACGCCAGGGATTTGATCCCGAGAACACTGACTTGGTGGTCACAACTCGCACGTTTTTGGCTACTCCTGTGGTTAAAAGTAAAATCATAATTCTTACCGGTTGGGTATATGCCCAATAGCCTTGGTGCACGCCCCGATCACCGTGTTACAAATGTAGGGGAACATCCCCTGAGTGATTGATCATATTAAAGCAAAATAAAGAAGAAAAATGGGTTTGTCTTGTACCTTCTAGCCTCTTTTATCAATTCAAATAGGGCGATGCTGCGAGGCGCAGTATATATGCAAGGAAGGAATGTAGCGCGGGTAAGTATGAAAATATTCGGTTTAACTTGATCTAATTGTTGTTTGTTTCTTTCCGCTTTCGAAATCTCTTTTATTAAACCCATTGTACGTTTATATTAATGCATGCATACGTACCTACGCCCGTACATACATAAGCGGGTGCATACAATTGCATTGTAGGTCACAATTGTATTTATTATAATTTATTTATTTATTTCTTTCTTTCTTTTTTTGCTTTCAAGAGTATTTTTACCGTTCGCATATTTGTTCTAAGCCACTGCTACTTGAAATTAAAAAAGAATTAACAACGAAAATGTTACGATAAAGAAACGTTTGGTTTTCATATTATTTACATAAAATTTTCAAAAAACGAAATAAAAAGTATTTTAAAATAATTTTCAAAAATTAAACTCAAAGAGATTAATTCAAAGAGCAGAAAAATGTTATGAGAATAGTAAACAATTCAATGTTCATGTTGTTCAAGGAGCTCTTGAGAATTTTGAAAACATATTTCAAAACATATTTCAAATTGAATTTGAATTATTAAATAGTTATTGTTATTATGAAAAGCGGGCAAGTGAGTGCGAACAGTGCTAAGTATGTCGAGAACATCCGACAGAAAGACATGCAACATTTTCGGCTGAACAGTGTGTCACTTTCGAACGGAATAAATTGGGAGCGAACTGTTAGTGGCCCTAAGAAAATGTCAGTTCTAACCCATCATTTCGTTTGGTTGCTAATGAAAGACCAATGGGAGAAGAGTACACTTTCAAAGCCGGAGCGGGTATATAACTTGAAGAGAAGAGTCTTTCTTCGTCTTATCATTCAAAATTAGGAAAAGGAATCAGATGTGTGCACGCTTCGAAACTCTTCCACATTTTTTTCTTATACAAATGAATGGAAATTTCGGATTTTCAAGAGTATTGAACCTAATAATACTGAGATTAATTTCCATCGACATTGATTTGTAATTTGTTTAACTTCAACCTTATCGAGGGCGTCAATTTCAACTTTCGAACTTCAAATAAATGCTTAGAGAGCAAATATTATTCCAGAAATTTCTCATGAACCTTATTCATATAGAAAAGAAAAATTTAAATATTTCAGGAATTTTCGATGACTTTCATTCACGTAAA